CCCCAGCCTGGGCAACACCCTGCGGCTCCGGCCCCTGGCCCCCAGCAGGCGAGGTTTTATGGGGGGAGGGGGGATCGCCCGGGCCAGTCGCCACTGTTTCACCGAACAGACCTCCAGTGATATGATAGGATGGGGGAGATGTTGGACGAGCGTCCTCCAGGCCCAGGCCCTCCAGGTTCCCCGGCCAGGTGAAGAGAACATACGACTACTCGTCGAGGAATGGCCTTTGTGGACAGGGAGAAGGGGCTGAACGCGGCGACAGGCGACGTGATGGCCCTTCCACCACGGAGCACAGTCGAACCGCGTGTTCGACCATTGGCCGACCGCGACCACCCACGCGACTTCCGGCGGAGTGCTTCTGCGCCGTCAAAATAGTACACCCCGTACAGCCCGAGTTAATGTGCCTCCAATGCCGATTCCCTCGGACTGGGACTAACTGGAGAGGGCTTGGCCAGGCTTGGCTCATCCGTCCAAGGACGGGGGTTTGTTTCCTTCGCACTCGCACTCTTACGGCCGCCCGGGGAAACACGCATTCCAACGGAGCAGCACAGTGACGTGGCGTGACGTAGGACGGCGGGAAAAGGTGACGTGCCGCCACTACCGCCTGACCTGTGCGAGGCCGAGGCAGTAGACGAGAGGCGGACCGAGGAGGTCCTGTGCCTGCTGGTTGCTGGTGCCAGTTACGACATGGATCAACGCAGGGGCGGCGCTCGTCGAGCAGGAAAGAAGAGAAGGAACCACTTTGCAGCGGCTGAAATATACAGTGTAAGGAGGACCTGTTATTGCTGGGCTTGTGTCCTTCTATCACCATGCGTTTCTCGCGCGAACCACACCGGCTGTGTGTTATTTTCTTAATATTTGTTTTTCCTCTCAGCAGAGGATGAAGCTGACTCAGTTGCCAGACGACATGCTGGTGCTGGTGATGCAGCGCCTGGACGTGAAGTCCATCTTCGCCTGCCGCCTCGTGTGCCAGAAGCTCTCCGGCCTGGCCCTTCACAGGGACGTGTGGCGACACCAGTCGTGCTTCAAGTACAACGACAGGTACCTCATGCGGTGCGTGTGCGGTCTGCTGCGCCTGGCGCCGTGCCTGCAGGAGCTGGCCGTTTGGCTCCCGGTCCGCGGGTGTCGCCCGGCGTTGACGTCGACCTCGTGTGCCGCGCGGGTGCTGAGTGTTTCCGTGGGCAACGCCGCCGCCGTCCAGGACGCCGCCGAGGCCGTGTGCAGGCAGAGGTCGCTCGGCGGGCTCCGAGGCATCGTGATCGAGTTTCGCACGCAGGCCGATGCCTCGGCGTTGTTGGCGGCGGTGGCGCAGACGCCGGGCTTGGGCGGTCTGCGCGTGACGGCGCACACCGACATCCCCTGGCTGGCCGCCCCCGACACGCTGCCGGCGTCCTCCCTCAAGCGCTTCCAGTGCGAGCTGCGGCGGGAGACGGTGGACTTCGCCAACTTCATCCTCGCGGCGCACGCCGCCACCCTCGAGGAGGTCGAGTTCTTGCACTCCACGTTCAGCACGCCCCTGACGTGGGCCCTGCTGGGTGGCATGCAGCACCTCCGCCGGCTCAAGTGCGACGGCAACCCCGGGATGGAGGCCGTGGCGGCCTGTGGGTCGCTCCGGGTCCTGGACCTCACTGTGACCCACAACCGGCTGGCCGCCGCGTGGGCCGCGGACTTCCTCCGGGCCGCCGTGCAACTTCGCGTGGTGCGAATCAGTTACGAGCCGGGGATTCGAAGAGCCGACGACGTCGGCGCTGACCTCGTCCTGGCCCTGGCCTCGTCCGGGCGGTCCCGCGTGGAGACGCTGGCCCTCGACAACTCCGGCGATCAGGGAGAGAACGCCCCCTACCTGCCGTCGCTGATCCGCGCGCTGCCCTCGCTGCCGTGCCTGCGGCACCTCAAGGTGGACCGCGAGCCCGACGGGCTGCTTCGCGCCATTCACCCTGACACAGCGCCCGCTCTTCAGAGTGTCGACGTGGTGCTGGGTCGCGGGGAGTGCGCTCACGCGTGGATCCACGGGGACGCGGTTAAGGCCGTCATGTCGGCGAACCCCTCGCTCCACGTCAACGTGGAGGCAGGCGCCATCTTATGTGGTGACTATGACAAGATGATGTGTGAGGGGGCGTGCGCAGTGGGATGCCACCGTGAACTTGAAGAGTGCATCAGATGGAATGAAGAGGACTATCGCTGGGGGCACCATCTTGGTCTCTTCTCACATGACCCCACGGAGAAGTGTTCGCAGAAGCACTCTACAGAACACAAGCGCTGTTGGATCCTTATCCCACAATCTCAATAAGACTGCTTTTTATTCTAATTCACAATAAATTTGTATACATTAGTTTTCCTGATGTATTATTTTTGTATCGTTTTGTATTGCTTGTCTTGTCCTTTTCACGTGTAGTAAAAATTATTGTCAGGTTTGGATTCTATTCAAAATACAGAACTTAATAAATTTTCACTTTTAACCCTCGTACTTAAAAGGATTTGTAGACTTAGGAGACGTGCATTTCCCGAGCGAACACATTGAGAGGGGGAGAGAGAAGGGGAGAGAGAGAGAGAGAGAGAGAGAGAGAGAGAGAGAGAGGGGGGGGGGGGGGGGGGGGAGAAAGACGTCCACTTAGCCGTACCCCGAGTCGGCCGTCGAGGAACCACATGTCCGCTAACGTCCATCCTTACCATCGGCGCCCAGGTCATGTCCGCTATCGACACAACGCCGGTGCTCCCGAGTGCTCCCTGCCGAGCACGGTTTTTTCAGCACGCCACCTGTCGGCGGCACAGGCGCGGTTTTAGGTCCGGCTAACAGTGGGCTGTAGGTTGCCTACAAACAGGGGTTTGGCACAGCAATTTGCCTATCTCAGCGCCTCTCCAGGCGGCTGCCCCTGCCCCCGATTCTGTGAAAGCCGTGTCGTTCGTGCGGCTGCGGCGAGCGGCGGCGAGACTGTCCTTTGTGACGTGTAGAGGCTGCGGGGCGTAGAGTGTGGTGGGAGTGGGAGTACGGCACGGCGGACCAATCAGCGCGCAGCGCGCAGCGTCTCCCCTTCCTCGGTGGCTGCCGAGACAGGCTTGGTGCCTCATCGACCATGCTGCGCTGCTGCTGACAGACCTCAGAACGGATCACGATTCCACGCCAGGCCAGCCGCTACCAACGCTTGCTGCAACGTCATAAAGGTCAGTGTCAAACAGCGCCGTGTGAACAAGTTAGCAACTCGTCCGCAGCAAGTTTATCGTCTCATCCTGTCGGCCGATCGTAACGAGTGAACCGCGAGTATTGGGCAATGGCATATAATACGCCGTTTAGTGACTTGCCGTCTCGTAGAAGAATTTGGGGTTAGGTTACGTCAACATCTCTCGTACCGTATTTTTAGCGTACGGTCAGGCAGGCCGTAGCAGTATGAACTGTACTTTCTTGTTTGGGCTTAGAGCTGTATTCGCCTTCCCCAACATTTTTTCAAGTTACGGTCTGTTCTGTTTGTCACGGGCGTAACCAAACATTACGGTGCCGGACGTGGGTTGTGTCCGAATTCTCGTCCGGTACGGCCGGAACGGTCCGGTACGGCCGGAACGGTCCGGTCCGGTTTGCTCGCGGCCGTTGCGAGCCGCGCCATCCACCATTCGGCTGCTACCAATACCCGCGACGCCCCGAAGACCGCGAGCGCCCCGCGAGATGACAGGCCGCGAGTCCCGAGGATATGCACCCCTCCGACGGGGGTGATCCGCGGGGGTGACTCGCGAGCTACCCCATGCCGGGGGTGACTCGCGAGGATAGTCCCGCGACCTGCGTTATCCTTGTTGCTAATGAGTGGCTGCCCTGAACGGCTGGCGCGGCTCGCAACGGCCGCGAGCCAACCGGACCGGACCGTTCCGGCCGTACCGGACGAGAATTCGGACATAACCCAGGCAACAAATTTACAGCGCAGACCGTAGGCCTTTCGCTGTGTGTTTTTCTGACAGTGGTGGGGGTACGTGCCCTAACATCATCTTGGCGCATATTTGGTTTTGACGAGTGTTGAAAAGCATTTTCTGGAGTTGTCATACATTCAGACTTTCCCGTACTGATGATATGATATGGCCCTTTTTAAGAAGATGTGCCAATGTAAAGTCGGGGGGCGTGCCCCCTCCGCTCGGCTGCGCTTATGCTTTACGCAACTCCTACCTAGGAATCATCAGGATAAAAATTAATCGAAATCGCTTGAACGAAGCGG